TCGAAAGCGACATTTTTCGATTAGGGCTGATAAGGGAATTTCGGTAACCCGAAAATTTGAAACTTTGCAGAAATATAGTTCAAGTGATGCTAATTACGAAACCATTTTTTCTTTCAGCAGTGAAACAGTCCTAGGAGTGGAACCACCCCCTAAAAAACGGTGAGTTTTTATATTATCGTGAATATTTAGGAAATCGTACAAGATATGGAAAGAAAGTTAAATTCAAAGATATGTAGTTTTTGATGGCCATTCTTATTTAAAAAAAAAAAAAGTACTTCTTGCGGTTCTAATGGGTGTTTCAGTTTCTTGTTTTCTCAGGTTTCTGTGAATTTGCTTGCCGATATTCTTGAACGTGCCCAACTTTGACGCCTGATTTCACGATCTCGCTGTATTTCTTCCATCGACTATACAAGTTAGACGAGATCATACGAAGTCGGTAAACGGTGTTCTCTTCTTCTATCGTTTTTTCTCCCCCGACCTTTACGAACATTTCGCGAGAAGATATTTAGAACACAGCTTGCTATCTGTTCCCGTATGTTTCACCAACAGAATTTCTACTAAGGTAATAAAGTGGAGCCTCGTTACGTCATAGTATCTCGTGTTACCATGATCATTCTGAGGAAACACCTATCCGTTCATTCGTGTGACTTTGGAAAACAGAGTATGTTTGAATGTTGAATTAACAAAATCTTACCCTTAAAAATTTCAAAATTCGAAATTTCGAACTTTGAGATTATGAGTGATGTGAGTTTTGAAACTGTAATATGGATTTTAAAAATTTCGGGTAACAGGAACAGTATGATTTTATTTTCAGACTGAAATATTGGTATGAATGTTCTTTTTGTTAACTTTTGCTTAGTGTACGTAATTTTTTTTTGCAATTACACAGCATTAGCTCTTTTTTTAGCATGAATTGCTTTAACAAGTAGGAAGAGCCTGCTGAGTCACAACTAGAAATAGACGTTCCTTTGCCTATTAACGAAATTGCAGGGAATCTTACTGAAGTAGTGAACAAATTTAAAATATCAAGGAAAAGCTGCTACAACGTCCAGAAATGTCTGAAATTTGATTTTGAATAACCTGGAAATTTCAGCGCTGATGCAAAAAATAATTTAAATCACACCTTCTAGTTGAGACGAGTGTGAATATTAATATAAAGTTTTTATATTATAGTTTAGAATAATAAATTAAATATGAACACTAGAAGAACATTTAATAGATTTCAAATGAGTTCTTTAGACTTGTTCGAATAAGATAACAGGCTGTTAATATTGTTGGACACTTTGCACCTTCTGTTTTGCAGCGTAGAATCTAAATTGTTTTGACATGAACGCTGAACTTCAGCTTCAGCTGTCACAAATGTGTTTTTATTATCTGCAAATCATCTGTTCAATCAAGTCTAGTACAAATATAGCAAGCTATAAATACTCGTTACTGTTTTTAACTTTACCATTACCCTTGGAACTAGGCTCAGTTCGCTACTATTGTTGAACGCGAAACTACGACAAGCAACGGTTAACGCCTTTATGGAAATTGTTGGATTATCTCTAACAACACCCTATGGAAATAATCAAGTGAGGACAAAAATGTCTCCGCGTTATTTTAAACAAAGGCACTCCACCAGATGTGTCGGGTGTCCGTCTTCGAGTCACGCACTGCACAATGCGATACCGTAAAGTAAAACAGTTCCTAGGCATAAGGGGACCCCAACTTTCCTTTTGGGTGCCCAGAAACAGTCCTTTAGAACATTCAATAGCGTAAAGACGTTTCCTCTGAGTCAAAGACCATTTCTTTTCATAACCCATTTCCAATAGAAATAACATTCAACATGCTTTTTGCAATATAGATAAAAACTTGAAGTTTTTAACAAAGATAACACAAATAACTCTCCTCTGAACCCTTTCGCGACGGTGGAACCAGCCATCGGTACGCCACTAACGAACGGGGGTCGTCATGCCATTAGTGCACACCATGCACATTAAGAGTGTCTCGCGTTTTTTCAAATCTTAAATCTGTTACACTTATTTCTACGCTGATTGTGAAGTTGTGCGATTTAAATCGAGAATGTAGGTTTACAATTGACGATTGGTTTTTTTCTAGAATCATTAATTCTCGCACAAATTCATCTGTCCCAGATTTATTTCTCACTCTCAAGGATACACGATGAATATTTATACCGAACAATACTCTGCTGTACCGCGGCTACATACTCATATCTCGTAAAGCCTCAATCATGCAATTGCTTCAAGGAAGAATACCTGACACTCGGTGATTTTTCCATTATACACACTCCAAATCGTCTTGAATTACGTGACGTATTTATAGCAAATTCTTGACAATATAATCATTCATAATTACACAGTGCTGCCTGAGTAAGGGGACTGCCAAACAAGCCTACTCGTGATCACCTTAACTGAATAAGTTTTTCTCGAGAATTCACTGTTTATCTACAGATGGTCACATATGTAATGGATATTAAATTGAGATCAGTTTTTGGCTCAAGTAGGTACTCAAGTAGGACACGTGTCTCACTAGTCGCGAAAGAGTTAAACGAAAATGTAATCAGTTATCGAAGAAGTAGTGTCATCTACTGCATGATGCTCCACAAGGCAAACCTCTTCTTAAATATACCGTTCATTGAAGTGGTTTAATTGATAATAAGGAAGTCCTAGATAATAAAGGTAAGAATTTAAGGTGAAGAATGAATTAATGATTTCTTAGGAAGAAAGAATTTTAACTTCTAATTATCCTCATAAGAGCACAGACACGCGTGCGTTAAAATAGATTAAGTTCAAAGTGAAACATCATTTAGTAAATTTAACATCAGTTATGGAAAAGAAACAATGTATTAGTGTTTCCTTTTAAGAAGGAAGAGAGATCTCATAAAAAGGTTAAAAGTGATTATAACGTGTGTTATTTAATAAAGAGAGCGCTCTATAAGTTTCAAGGTAAAACGAAACGACGAAATAAGCTTAAATTCAGAATATGGAACTTTTACGTGGACTCAGTTTTAGTTTAAATAAAATTTCAATTCAATATTCTCATATTTATGAAAGATATCGTTGGTGTGTACTACTTTCAATATTGTGATCGTGTTTCAACTTTGCAATTTTATTCTACTGTGCAACGAAATTTTGTTTAATATTTAATGTGGATAAGTAAAAGGAGATCGCTTTATTATGGATATTTTTCTATTTGACAAAAGATGAACTATGTACATTCGATAATTTTATAAAGAATGCAGACATTTCGATTTATATATTCTGAAACAAAGTACAATTGTGAATTATGCTGTTTGCACACGATACACGTATTGCATAATAATTCATCCACTTAGATATTCCAAATTTTTCGAAAACAAATCACGACCTCTTCTCATAGGCTACGTAATCGTAAACAAGTTTCCTGTTTCTAATAAAATATGGACGTGTTACACGTGTACATTATACTGGCAGATGGTACAAAAATAGCAACGAATATGGAAAACTTAGGGGAAAAAAGCAAACAAGATTTGTTTAAGAATATTAATCCTTCGAAGTAATATTGTGAGATTAGGATAATTACAAAATGAAACACTCTGGAAGAATGACAATTTTTAATCAGACGAGATCCTTTTTACAATAGAAACACATAAATTAGAATTTAAGTTTGAAGTGAAACATCATTTAGTAGATTTATCAGTTATTGAAAAGAAACAATGTATTGTAAACGATTGTATGCATTCTCAAAATTTTCAAATTCCTATAAGGCTAAGGGTACAAATAGTATTATCGTTTTATAAATTGTCAAAGTGATTATACAATTTTTTAACTAATATTTTAGCCCGGAGTACTCCTAAAATTAACATAAATTATATCCAGTTCCTTATGGAAATATTAATTAGCTATTAGTGTTACGAAACTTGCAATAAAAAAAAATTTAGACGATAAATAATTGTTTGAATTTTATAACTGAAATATAACAAGAAAAATGAAAAAGAATGTGTAAATTTCTGGAATGACTTACAATTGTTGAAAAAGCAGTGGAAGAGTACTTACTTGGTTGCATTACAAGGATACATAAAATTGAAGAGAAAAAAAAAAGAGAATGCACAAGACATGAAAAATGTAAGGTATTTACCAGGGTATTTTTTTTCACTTTAAATTTATATTCCACATTGAAAATTTTGTTCCACTTTGTATCGCAGGATCAGCGATAGGTGTTTTTTCTTCTTCTTAACTTTGTACTGGAAGATCTATTGCTATGTTAGTACAAGTGTTTTCGTATGCGCATTACAATTTATGTTTACGTATTTCTCTTGTCCACCATTTTAGTAAAACTTCAGTAAAACTTTAATAAAACGGTAGAATGCTTTTATCGAAATTATATCAATAAATAATTTGCGTTGAATAACATAGTGAAAGTGATTGTTAAATTTAAATTAACATATTTACATGATGTATCACGCGGCATCGCTATAACTATCACGAAATGAACGAGGGCAATACCCTAAGAAATAAGCAACATCATTTTATATGCTATAATAACAAGATATTACAAAAGAGTGATTAAATTGCATTGTAAATCTCATTCTTGAATTCTTCGAGAATTTTGAAATATATTGGTACAAATATAGAACATTTTTTATATGAAAGTTCTGAAAATAATATCCTTTGTTTTCACGTCATGTATCTTTTGTTTGTGGGCCAGCTGAATTAAAAGAAATTGCTCTACAAAATGACATAAAATATAGAAATACTTCCTATGGAATGTCATAAGTATGGAAGTATTCCTTTTCATATCTTCGATGTACGATCATTTCTTATTTATATTAATGTCTACCACAAAATGCAAAGAGTTGCATAAGTTACGTTTTCCAAAACATTCAACATCTTATCTATAATTTTCTCTCATTTTTGCTCGAAGGGATCGTAAATAATTTTGGAAAATCGTAAAAAAATGTCATACATAAAAACCGTTTATAATATCGAAACATGGAAGAAACATCGAAGGAACATTACCAGATACATTATCCATAGACTTCTCCAATCCGTGCATGGTGTAGGCCCAGCGATTGTTGTCGACCGGCGCAACAAGAAACATTTTTCACACGCAAAATGGAAATAACTACGTTAGCAATAGAAACAATATTCTCGTGTTTATTGACACATTTAACGCGAATTTTTGCTGATGCCGGTGTAAAGCAAACGCGAATACCGACAGCTAATCTACCGTTCAAAAGATTTTCCTTCCAACTGAATTTCAGTTAGACGAAACTCAACAAACTTGAAGCAGCTTTGATCGTGAACTCGCTACGTGAAACAGGTACTTCGCTGGAGGCTGCTCGTGTAGGTGTAATCGCCTCCGGCAACTCATGCGAGTGAGAAAAATATTTACAAGTATTATACGCTCACGAAAACTGGCTATTGAAGACGAACCGAAAAGCCTGTTCAAGATAGCGAAGACGACTGAACGTGAGCACAGCGCTACGGACGGTTGAACTCTGTCTCTCTTTTCTATTCCCCTTCTCTTCCGTCCAATCGCTCTCTTGCTTCAACGTACTCTCCCGCCATTCCGTCTCTGTTCTCCATGTTCGATACAAGCGATCTTCTCGCTTACTCAGGCTGTTATGTTCTTGTCCTATATTATCTCACACTCTATGCCTAATTTGAAAATACGCATCCAATTTGGTGTATTGTATCTTTTACTGCCTCGACACTCATATACTTTTCGAGGTTTTCTGGAGATTCTTTCGTATAACGATCGATACCTTTAAGACAAGGTTCGTATTATTTCTGTTTTGCTTCACACTTACGATTACTTTTCCTTCGCACACGTTCATATACATTAAGCTGCATACACATTAGCAAGCAGATGGTATTATGTAAGTTTATGGAATAAATTCAATGAAATTTTTCGTACGCAGTAGCGTTACAAATTACAATATGGAATGATATTTTATTGAGTGTATTATACACGTAACATTGCTAGATATTTAGTTTTGTACGTCAGTGCACACAGTTTTGTAATGCACTCCTACTGTCCTTTTCTCGCGTTTACACAGCATATGTGCTTTTTTAGTTTCTCCATTCTGCGTTCCATGTACTCGTACCGTCCTGCTCTCACATTCAGTATCCTATATGTTCATGCTACATACTTTTTTGTTTTTATCAATCATGTATTTCTATTTTCTCTACGTTAGCGCTCTATATGCTCGTACCATCTTTCTCCACCTTCTTAAACCGACACTTCCATCGTTATCCCTCCTGCTCTCCCACAATACCCGTTAACAATCTTTTTCTCTTTTTCGTTAAAACGCACGCGTGTTTCGCTCTTTCTAACTTTCTGTCCTTCTCGTGTATCTCTGTCACTGTCTTGCGTACGACTTACAAGGTAACCCCCACCATTCTTGCACCTGCGCTCTCTTCCAGCTGCCTGCTTGGTGTGGATATTCCCATCTTCATTTAACCACAGTCTTCGTGCATCTCTCTTCTTCTTTTTCCCATTCTATCTTGCATTATACTACGAACTCCCCGTCTTCGTTTCGCTAGCGCCAGCGATTCTCTGGATTTGCGCATTTACTCGCTCGTTCGCTCGCGAGGCCCCACTATCAGGGTAGGGTCACCTTATTTCATGGAAGAAAAAAAGTTCTATCACTCGGTGAGCACGTGCTCGTCCGGGCCCGTACCCCTCACTCTTCGCTGCATGCCCTCTCACCGAACGTGTTCCAGGGTATCGCCGGCTGATTCTCCGTCGTCGTATGATTTTCTGTTTACTAAACGAGGATGACGCAGCGTATGATTTTAACGTAAAATTTCCGAATAGTACACGATTGAATTTCCAATAATTTCGGAAATGCTTCCGTAAACTATTAATCGACTGCGGAAACCTTTCCCTCGCAGTTACGTTCACTTATTTCGTAGAACGGAACGAGTTTTCACTGGAGTAACGTTTGTAATTCGACTTCGAGTGTAATCAAAGATTGATCTGTATTTTGGAAAGGTATGTACAGTTACTAGCTAGTTATAATTAATAGAAAATTCAGTGTGCCAGAATTTTACATGTGAATATATGTTCAGTGATTGATAGGAAAAATTAAATGCATATATTTATTAGTGAAATTTGCATTAAAATTTAAATATATATGTTAAGTATCTCTTCTTTACATTAGACACTTAGATTGTGATTTATAAAAGAAGATATTCATTTTTATTAATTGACAAAGATAGAATGCATCTGAAGAAGTATTACCTTTATGTTTAATAACTTATTAAGTATTTACAATTAATTACTTCATTTATAAATAGATATACGATTGTCTAAAATGTTAAATATTTTATATAAGTACAGTACAGTCTATTTTCTCCAAGTATACATCTGTGAATCAGCTGTTTAATCGATGTAATACGAATGATTCATAAAAGTACTCTAAAATATTTCAAACGTTCCTGCGAATGTATGACTTTGCTAGAATTCTCATTTAAATATGAATTACTTAATTGTCCATTGCACATAATCAGGAGCCACTGCAAAGTCTGAAGTTTCATATACATACATACTCTCCTTTGAAATTCGAACACGCAATATATGTAAACACTATTGATTTGCACTTGAGTTTGGTTTGCTCGATTATCCTTTACTCGTTATATACACTTTTGATCAAAAACAAACATTTTTGCCAGAAATATGGTTATCGCCAGAAACATTCAAGATATGAATGTTTCTTACCAAGACGATGCAAGGTAACGTTGACCATGGAAATAATTGAACGTATAAAGAGTTTCTATTTTCGTAATGTAAAAATTACATCCGCGGTATGCTAAAATAAACGCGTGACTCACGAAAAAAAAAGAAATATTGTCTATTTATATAATTATTATTTCAATGATATCTTAGTGACTAAGAAGATGGTATGTAAATATATAACAGGTGCAATGTTTGCAATATGTAATATTTTGTTCATTGCTTTTCATAATAATGTTTTATTTTACTTACTATATTTGTAATGGTAGCTGAGGAATTACTTTTCCAAATTTTAATTCTTAATGTAAATATTCTATATGTGAAACATTCTCGTTTATCCCCTTAAAATTGCCGCAAACAAACAATTGGAAACTTTACTTTTAAGTCAACATTTATAGCTTTTGTATTTATTACTTCCAAAATTTGTACAAAAATTTCCAGAAGTACCTAATAAAAATAAATACAAATCCAGGGAACCCCCTATAGAGATAGGAGAGCACTAAACTATTGTATTTTTCTACATGAAGTAAAATGGCCCTTATAGGTAAAGCCGCTAAAACCCTTATATTCATACCTAAACGCACCCTACCAAATATTCCAGTACTTTTCCACTACTTACTTTCACTCTGGCATTGCTGTCCTGCGCAGTACCGATATTTACATAAGGGAACAATGTGGAAGTAGAGAAATGCGCAAACTCAATGTTAAATCGATGCAATATGCAATATGCAAGTATGCAATAAATACTTTCGTCAATAAAGTCGATATGTACAAGTTAACATTTGCCCTTTGTTTGTTGAAACTAAATTTCTCTACTGGAGGATTGCAATGTTAATTGTACTAATCATCAATTGTACCATCTTTCACTTCTACGAAACTTCAATATTCAACACTTTTGTTATTACTATATTGTTATAATTTATTATATCTGTGATTATTAAATGCGGTGTTTTTTTATGGTTATGAAAATGGTTAGTAACATATTAACATTGAAACATTTATTAAAGCAATTGAAACGTGTGGTAACAGATCATCTGAAATATCGTCAACAGTTACGAAATGTTACATAATTCCAGCACCTATGTAAACAAACATTAAGGCTTGAAAAAATTGAAATTTACAATATTCTAATTAGTAAATATTACATCGATGTTGAAACGAGTAATACAAATGACGTAACTGTCAATTTACGTAACTATGATAATAAGTTGTTAAAATGTTATTTCAATTTCTAAAACTGATTTTTATAACAAGTGTACCATTCTAAAAATATTAAATAATAAAATTTAGTGATAATAATAGTCTAACGTATCGTAAAAGTTTCAAAGTTTTTTACTAACAATCATATCACTATTATTGAATTAAAACCAAGCAATTTTTTAGGACTGTTCTGATCGAAGAAAGCTTCTTTAATTTAAGTGCGCTAAACCATTCATCATTGATCATACGGTGTTAATTCTTGACGTTCAGTGAAAATCTACTTTCTATGAAAGTACTGCCCGACTTAGAAATCTTGCATATTTTCTACTCATATTCAATATCTAACTCGACTGCAAATACTTTCAAAGAGAAGTTGATTGAAAATTGAAAAGCATGTAGAAAATTTTGATATCTGCGATCGGCAAATTAACTCTCGTTTGCCTAAATTTCACATTAATAATTCTTATCTAGGAATTTTCACTAAATAAAATTGTTTATTTTCATATTTCCTTTTTAAAATTAGTAACTGAAATGTTTGACCTTCTGCATAGTTATGACGTCACCTAACCTTAACCTACGTTCGACGTTAGAGTATTGATTCGGAATTTGAAACATAATATACATATATATATATGCAGATGCAACTTGTTGCATACTTCAGAATCTGCGGTCATCTCTGAACGCACCAAAACAATTCTTACTTAAGATTTGAATTACTATGTCGAATAGTAAGCATGTGGAAAAATTACTTTTCAAATGTTGTAATAAGAATGAAGTAGCCTTAATCTATAATTACCACGACAATTTATTTGAATTATCAGCAAAATAATAATTATATTATTCTTATTGTGAAGAACTTACTAATTACATCTGATCTGTAAAGCAAATTGTGGTTTTTCATGTTTTCAAATGATCTAGACATTAGCAATTAAAGAAAAAAGTAAACCTCAGTCTAATTATTAATTAATTAGCACATTATAATTAAGTAAAAAAACGTATTTGTTTACATCAAAGAAAGAAAATATTCCGTCTATATGCATTTATCTGTTATTCTTAACAATAATTAAAACAAAATACACTATTATCGTTAATTCATCCTTATAAAATTTAATTTTATGATCTAATTGCTTATTTCCTTAATTAAACGTTCTGTGGTATTAAATTTGATCCATGAAAATAAAGTAAACAATCACATTTGAAACACATTTCCTGGTTGCTCAAGCCATACCGCCAACAACACTTCCTAACCTCTCAATCTATACTACCAACGGTGCTTGTATTAAATAAACTTTCTCAGGAATATTTACATAAGCTCCTAAACACGCTCCTGTGCAAACGTGACAAGATTTTACATATCAATGCTTGAATGTCTGAATCGTCATTCTCGACATTG